GGCGGAGAAGATTGAAATATATAGGAGTAGGCTACGTGAGGGATGTTTAAATGCGAGAGATGCTGAGAGCCTATCGTCGGCGTGGAAATACATGATTAAAAAGTTCACTGAAAACTCAAGCTAGAATTAGTTTATTGGAAGATTTATTATATTTTTTATTTTTTAGTTTATTTTGTGTTATTTTTATATATTCTCTTGTATATTTTAATTTTATTTTGTGTTATTTTTATATTTTCTTCCGTTTCTCTTGTATTTTTTAAAAATTTTTGTTCTAAATTTTGATTTAAATATTTATATTCTATACATGGAACGTATCTGTTCCATTTTTGTTTTTTAGATCTGAGGATGGCCTGTTAATCAGGTTGAAAATGTTTGTTTTTTAAAATATATTTCTCAGCAACAAATTAAGGTGTTTTAATTTATGCATCTATATGTAATAGACATCCTCAGGTATTGATGATATTTAACTAATGGCTAGACTATTTGACTAGCCATTAGTTCAATATCATCAATACCTGAGGATGTCTATTACATATAGATGAAAACGTTCATAGCAAAAATTTTTCTGTTTGGTTATGAACTGGTGATGGTTTATTTGGTGAGTCTTATATGAATCTTATTTGAATGACCATTCCTTTCTTGGTAAAAAAAATGAATATTAGAGAAAGTGAAAGGCATCACACATCATTCATTGAGAAATTATTAGTTCAGAAAAGTTGAGAAAAAAAAATGCTTCTTAAATAAGATTAGAATTAATATCTCTTTATCATCTAAACAAGCATTATTAAAGCCTAATCATCAATAAGTTGCTTCATGTATTTTTTATTATTTTTTTTATAAATCTGTCAAAGATAAGATATCACATTTATTTATGTCAAAATATATTTTAAATTGATGAATATGAATAGTTTATATTTTCCATTAAGATATATTAATGAATTATCATCAAAATAAAAAATATTAGTAGTAGTAAATTGAATAACATTAATACATCCTTTTATTCATTTTACTATTACTAGTAATTTTTATTTTGATGATAAATCATTAACAACAAAATATAATAATTTTTGAAAATGTAATCTGTGTAATTTTGAAAATGTTATCTATCTAATTATTTTTTTTCTTACAGTTCAAAAAGATGGTCACCACAAATTTTAGTTATTTTTCTAGCAGAATAATAGTTTTAATGTTTTTAAAAAATAATAACTTGTATTGATGGGTCTGTTGAATGATTCTTATCCATTTCAATCTTAAAAATCAACCAAAAGTTACAAAAATCTTTGTCTACAATTGAAATTTCTCACCAAAAATTTATTTTTGCCTTTATTGAAAAACACTGCACTACATATTTGGACAGTTTCTTTTCATATGCTGTAAAAATCAATGGCCAAATTCAATGAATTAGTTAAATTGTATGTTTTGCTTTGTTTTTCACCAGTGGATAGTTGATAAAGTTTGCTTAAACACTGAAACTGTTGTTTTAAATATTTTTGTAAAAATAATTTTATACATTAAAATGGTTATTATTAAAAAGAATTACATACTTTTTATTTGTAATAGGTTATAAATAAAGGAATTTTAAAAGTATGTTGAGGACTTTCACATTTTTATGTTTAATGTGAAAAAATATGAGAGTGGTTATATCATTTTAGTGTTAAATATTTGAGAAATTGCAAGAATTTAGCTGAAATTTTACAGATTGAATAATTGAATGAATCATTCAAATAAATCCATCACTAATATATTATAGTTGTACTTTAACTTTAAATAGAATTGTTTCAAGAGTGAGGCAAGTTTTGGGAGATTTCAACATGTCTTGTGATGATGTATGTATTAATTTCCACTTAAAATATATTATTATTAATGATTTATAATTCTTATTAAACTCAATTTAAATACAGAATGGAAGACTGATTCTGAAACCAAGACCAACAACATCCTGACGACAAGTGTAAGGAAGCCTACCTTCATTTCAAAATGAATATTTTTATAAATTAAAATGCATAAATTGGAGGCTTCCTTGCATAAAACATATACATATATATAAATAAAAATATTGTAATTCTTTTAAGCAAAATTCTTTAATGGCTTTTAAGTTACTTAATTTTTAATTATGTAAATATTATTAATTCTTAAAAATTATTAAAACATTGAATTTATTTCAGTAATTATTAAATGAAATTATTCATTATATGTATAAACAATCATCAAAACAAATATTTTTGTGTTAATATAATTCATCATACATTTGAGTATTTAATTACAGTTGTCCCTCTATAGTCCGACGTTTTTTAATCCGACATGCTCAGTAGTCCGACGCACCTCCCGTCAAGGTACCCGTCCCCGTTATATGTCTGCTTGCACAGAAGCATGTCGCGATGTGAATCTCCCCATCCAATTCTTACTCGATGACACACATTTCTTGTGTTTTATTTGAGCAGTTCTGTTCGAACAGTTGGAGTAGAGAATATTGTAAGTTACTGCTAGCAAAACAATGCGAAATATGTAATTATTTTCGGTAATCCGGACACTTTTGGTAATCTGACACACCTTTGGTCCCATACCTGTCGGATTATCAAGGGACAACTGTATTTGTGATGTATCAATGAGTCAAAATACAGAATTATATGGGCCACAAAGAAACTACATATTGTTTGCTGATTCTTTAAGGAAATAAATAACTTCTATAAAATATTAGGATAGTAATTTAAATTTTTTCATTTTCAATTGTTTAGCAACAAAATGAACTTACTCTATTCATATTATTGTTTTCATCTCCTAAAGAATTATGAAAAGTTAAAAATAATTGATTGCTAATTAATGAGATTTGATGAGATTCTTTTCTTTAACTGATTTTTATTTTAAATCAATAAGATATCTTAAAGTTCATTTTTAATTTAAATATAATAATTAAATAATTTAAAAAATAGCAGAAACTAATAAGTTATGGGAAAAATAATGTTAGAGTTACCATGAAGAACATATGTGAGAGACTGAGATGATGTCAGAAGTTTTTTCAGGAGAGGTTTGAAAGCATTAAGACCTGAATGTATTTTCTTTAACATTTTCTTTTTTCAATTAGTTGTTATTACATTTATTTAATTATTAGTGGATCTGGAATTCTTTCCTCTAAACCAGTGTTTTTCAACATTTTTCTCATCTGGACATAAAATTATGGAATGTGGACCAAGTAATTATATGTGACTATGAATTATACTTATATATCTAGTGTTACTGTACATAACAAAGTACATACAATAACTCTAAATTACTATGCAATTGTCACCTGTAATCAACTGCACCAGCATCAGTATGGTCAAATATTTTCTGCAGACTGGTGAAATTTCACGAACCATCACTGATGCTTGAAAAACACTGCTCTAAACAACAATCACACAATATCATGAAGTATTTCGTCCCCCAAAAAGAAAAAGATCTAGACAGATTTAAATTCACCAAGGATAATAATTATAATATTCAGCATATTACTAAAGGAGTGTTTAAGTAATCAGAAGCTTGTTTAACTTCAGGGTAAATTTAGTATGGGCTTTTGGTGATATGAGGATTGATGGAAAACTATATATATATTATTTGACTATCTAGACTTTGCTCTTTTTACATGGAAATTAAATTCACTGCAGGCAGCTTCAATACACTTACAGTTTAATTCCAAAATTGATTGTCTTCCAGTACTAAGAGTTTTGAGTATATTCAGAGTGATCTATTTAATCATTCCACTGAAGTAACTCAAAAAATACATATCCTACGAAAATCATTCATCTAAAAATGTTAGACTTTAATGGCTTTGTCATAGATGACACTATAATTGGTGAAAACTGAGTCAGCTTCATTTTTACTTTCCCAGCAATTGGTCAAAAAATGATCCTCCAAAATTTTTACATTTTTAGATCTAGGACACCTTGAAATGTCAAGAAACACAAAAGAATTTGAGGTAATTTCTATAGGTATGGATGTTAGTGGGGAGCACAATTTTATTCACTCTGTTCGAAGCTTTATAACTCCTGTGCTTTTTGTCAAAAGTTTCTGAAATTTTGCAGGGAGGTTTGTTTATTAGGGGATTGCTGCTATTAAATTTTGGTGGTTAAAGATTGATGGGATGGGGAGGTAAAGGGGGTCATGTGTATCTCCAGTAGGGTCAGACTCAGGGCCGGATCATCGCATAGACAAATGTCTAGGGCCCGGTCAAACTGTCTATTTTGAAAAGATTTGTAAATAAGATAGTTTACTTTTCTGTTGGACAACAGTATAATACTGGTAAAACTGGTAAAATATGATATTATTTAAATATTAACAAAAAAGGTTAAATTAAACAAGTAAAACGGCAAAACCGTATTTGGGACACGACTATGTCTCGGAGACACTACTAAGCGGAATCACTTTGACGCTCAAAGCGGATCTCTTTCTCATTCTCCAATCTTCTTTGGTATCGCTGCTTTTGGGCGCGATCGTTCAAACTTCGCCAGCCACGACCACGAGGTCGTCCACCATGCATTTTCGATGAAATTAACCTATCCAATTTAGAAATTTCTCCCTGTTGTGCGTCGGTCCGGGTTGAATTTTTGTCGATGCCTAACGAAAATTTCCCATTTTTGAAAAAAATAATCGTGGCTATTGTATCGTCCGAAATTATTTTTTTATTTTGCACAAACAATATACAGTTTAACCTGATTATAACGTCATCGGATGTAACGACAACCCTAATATAATGTCAAATTTTTATCTATACTAGATAATGTTAAAAAACCTACTTGTAACAACATAAAACCCTGTTTTAATGTCATATTTGAAGCACTCCTAAATTTACAACATTAGATTACAAATTTTATTCAACAAAGAAAATACTATGTGTTCAGTCCTAGGGTCACAGTCCAGTTCCTAGAACGACTGTGGGTGGTACTCTCACCACTTTACTTCGGTTTGCATGCTTATAGAGAGATTCGGTTCTCGGTCCTCTGAGTGGGCTACCTACAAGTCTGGTTTTTTATATGCGCGCATAATTTTGGCACTTAATACTCTGTGCCTTATTGCAACTCCTGACATGTACTCTTTCATACCTCTAAGCTGGTAACACAGCAGGCAGTACGATTTTATAAACAAGACACAGTCTTGTTGAAAATTAATATTTTAAGATAATATTTATTTTGTATAACAACTTTTGTTATACATTTAATAAAATAAATTTCAATTTTTTTAATTTATAAACAAACTGTTCAAAGTTTTCTAGAAAAACTAAATTTATTGTTGTATATTAAATATTTTTTATTAATAAAAATTTAAGATTTGTTTTAGTTTTTCACATTATTTAGTTTTGTTTTATATTTTTTGTGTGCTCTATTTCTTGTGAGAGAGGGGGCCTGGTAAGAAGAAAATGTCTAGGGTCCCAAAGTGGGTTAATCCGGCCCTGGTCAGACTTAATGATGATTTTACTCATTATTAGCATTTACAATTTTTTATAAAACCCATTCCTACCCTCAAAATTAAGCTTTTTGTCATTTTATAATAGTTAAAAATATAAGTTTTTTAAATAAAATATTGTAACAGATGGTGCCACCAAATGTTGCTGGGAAAGTTGAGCAACTCGTTGCTGGATTTTCTTTAACAGAAAAGTCTGTTTTTATTGCATATTATGATTCTATATCAAAACAAACTTTTGTCTAAAAAAATTTTTCAAAAGACGTACAGTACTTATCAGAAGTTGAGTGAAATTTTATGCAGCCACCATGCAAGCATGCATAAATCTGTGAAGTTCATTGAAAAAAAGGAGGAAAAATGATAAAATATTCATTAGAAAACTATTATTATTTGGTGGAATCAAGATCAATGTCTTTTGTTTGTCACAAGTTTGGTGGTTTTAACACAATGGCACTAGTCTTTGTACCAGTTCATTACTTGAAAAAAAGAGTGATATCACCAAATAATGTCCTAGTGATTATTGCTTTAGCATTTTTCTTCATTTTTCAATGAACTTCATGGATATCCACAGATTTATGCATGCCCTTCACGATGGCTGTATAAAACTTCAAGTGTTTGTAACTTCTAATAAATGATTGATATAGAAATCATACTATGCAATAAAAAAATGAGAATTTTTATGTAAGAAAATGAATTTGTCCTCATTTTCACAGATTATCAATTTCATCAGATGGCACTACAGACTTTTCAAAGAAACCAACATTTTTGGTTCAATAACTTTTTTCATAGAATGTATATTTTTTGAGTTATTTCAGTGGATTGAATATATACATGCAAGATGGTCCATTTTAATTAAGTAAATAGTTTTGCTAAAATATAACTACTGTATCACCAACTTATGATTTTTGTTTGTATCAAACATGAATGCAATAACTAACTATAAGTTTCAAAAAATTTTTTGTGCAAAGATAAATTTTTTAATAAAGTAAAAGTTCAATATAACAGACCACCATGATAGTGAAGGAGTTGGTCCATTATAACAAAAAGTCTATTTTATTGCGATTAGTAATGGATTAGTCCGTAATATGTAGAGTAGAATCACATTAGAATGTATCTTGATAATGGACAGAGAAAATATCTGCAGTTCATGGATGTTCTCTCCAAAGCCACATACCAAATCAATGTATTTTTACCTCGTTTCAGTGGATTTGTTACCACAAATACAAGGGATTCTATTGTATATAGTAATATAAACTTGTCCATTACTGTATATCAATAATGCAGACAAAAGGCAATTATTTCAGTTGTAAAGTATATAAGTTAGATTTTTACTAAGCTTATGCAAACAATACTTTCCTTCAATGTTGCTGTTATATTTATTTATTTTTTGAAATAATTTAAAGAATTGTTTTAAGAAAAACATGTAGTTTTTCTCTGGCATTTCAAATGTCTGAAATTGCCTGCTCAGAGACATTTCTTTACCAACTTCAGCTTGAGATTTTTCATCTTCAGACTGATGAATTAGTTTATCTATTTTTTTGTGTTAAATGTAAAGCTTTCTTTTCTTTTATGATCCATGGCTTTACACAACAAATCCAATGTTTGATTTAGTTTATTTGGTTATGGCAACATGATGTGGGTGATGCCTCCCAAAAAAACTTATGGGAAACTGGCCTCTATTTAAATGTTACAAATATGAATAAAACCCAGAAAACTCCATGTATCCAGTCTGTCGGCAACATGCAAACTCACAACCAACTATCAGCGTTTGGTTGGCCATTGGTGGGCAAATCCAAGACTCGTTGCTTGTAGAACAGAAAAAACCAAAACTGAACAAAACTACTCAACTGGAAAACAAAACAAAAACTAAATGTGAAAATCTATACCAAAAAATGATTTAAAAATTAATTTTATATTTTTTTATTTACTTTTTGCAAAGTAGAGTAAATAACTATGATGAAATAAACAAAACGATGACTGCATGAATGAAACAAAAGTCCATTACAGCAAATGAGTTTTTATAATCTATATATATAAATCGAGAAGGGTTGATGATGATAATAATAATAAGCGCAGAGCCCAAACGGTTAGGAGTTGAAAGCTGAAATTTGGTACACAGTTAAGGTACATCATGAAAACACATACTAAGAAGGGATTTTTCGAAATCCCCCTGGGGGAGAGGGACAGGAATAAGGCTTAACACTTCCATCAACAATAGAAGTGTTAAGTAACAATGGAATTGTTAAGAGAAAGCGACGTGCAAGACGCAGATGCAGTTTTTGTTTTTGCGGGAAATCGAAGCTATTTTTAGACCTATCTAAAAATTCTCTAATCAGTCCGGAAACAGGGGGACCCAATTCTTGCATTCTGTGAAAACGGGTAAGGTTGACTATAACGTAATAATCTTAATCTTTGCTACTGTTACTTTTGCCCGAGCAACGCCAGGCCTACCTGCTAGTTTTCCTATAATTTTGTTTGGATCAACATCAGCCATCCATAATGAGTTCCATTGTATAAGTGCTTCTTGAATTAGATTTATAGCACTACTTAATTTATATAAACTTAAAAAGCCACTAAAAACACAAGTTAGTTGTTATTTTAGTCATTCATGCATTATGAATATCTATACTGGTCATTTTACTAAATTTGTTTTTCAAAGCAGAAATCAGTTTATGTCAACTTTTTGTTACTTGTTCAGCTTATAAACTAGCAGATGAGCCTGATGTTGCTCGGGCAAAAAGTAATGATAACGAAGATTATTATTATTAGATTATAGTCAATCTTACTCATTTTCACCGGGTGCAAAAATTAAGCCCCCTCTTTCCGAGACTAATTAGAGAATTTTTAGATGGAATGAGTCTAAAAATATGTTTAATTTTCTGCAAAAACACAAAAAGACTGCATCTAAAATAGTACAGTAGAATCTGAGTTCAGGGTAATTCTTAACCCTCTCCCCAATGGAGATTTCAAAAAATCTTAGTGTATGTTCTCATGACATATCCTCTGTACCAAATTTCATCTCCTAACCATTTGGGTTTTGCACTTAATTCTTGCACCCAGTGAAACAGGATATTAAGTCCCCTCTTTAGAGAATTTTTAGATAGGTCTAAAAATATGTTTAATTTTCCACAAAAATGCAAAAAAACCACATCTAAAATAGTACAGTAGAACTGAAGTTCTTCAGCATAATCCTTAATCTGCTTTTTCTCCCTAGCAGAGGGAAATTTTTTAAAATTCCCTCTTAATGTATGTACTCGTGATGTACTAAATTTCAACTCCTGTTTGGGCTCAGCACTTATTATCAACTCATCGTGAAAAATTAAAAAATTATAATATGACGACTTAAATGACTTTCATTATCAAAATTAATTGAAAAGAATATTCTTTATAAAAACTAAGAAGTTGATTATTAATGTATAATTTAGTTATATTTTATTATACTTGTTGATTTTGATATGATTAATTATTGGTTGTAAAAAAATTTTGTTGACTACATATTTAAATTATAACATTTTAATCAAAAGAAATATTTTACAAAAACATGGACAATATACATAATAAAATATTTAAAATGCAACACAACGTGTTTTCAAATGTATGTTGTAATAAAATTCACGATGTCGACCGATCATCTCCTCGTATTTGTCTGTATTTGGCCATTTCGTTCGGAAAGACTTTACTAAGTTCGACCAAGAGAAGAGCCTTGAATCTCTGCAAAGAAAAAGAAAAAATTGATTAAATACAGTACTGTTTTGTATGTAATGAAGCAAACAGCAATTCTACTTTAACCAAAAGCCTCACAGAATTACTTGGCTGCTAGAATACTATTTGATTATTTTGTAATAACCAATTATGTTTGATAGCAGCTGAGAACTATTCACTCAGCTTCTTTTAATACACGTTTATTTCTGTAAAACATACTAAATTCAAATATTAAAAAGATAAAATTTGAAGTTCTTTTGTTTGCTATTTTACCCTAGATTGTTCTACCTTCTTGATCATATATCTTTGTCATTCCTAAACAAGTTATGAACTGTGAGAGCCCCCGAGTTATATTCAAAAAAATAAATTACTCCTGATTTATAAGTGAAATGAAACTCAAAATATAAAATTATTGTTATAAATTAATCACTTAACTGTTAAAATTTATAGAAATACAGGTGCCAAATAATGAACACAACCCCAATTTCTTAAAATTACAAAAATCTGCTTTATTAGGGCTTACTCAAATTTAGTAACAGTTCTCTAGAACATTCAGTCACTCAAGCTCATTATCATTAGGTACAAAAAAGTGAACTAGCTTACTTGCTAGCTGTCACCTAAATCTGTTCATTGTACTACTATATTATGTATGTGGACAGATAAAGGTGAATGTTGTCACGCTAGTTCATTTTTGTATCTCCTGATGATCGGATTAATTGCCCAAAAATATAAAACTGTTACTCAATAAAGAAAGCTCCATTAAAGTAGACTTGTAATTAACATAAATTCCACTAATGAAAATTGTGTCGTTTAGTTTTATCATTGTCATTCAGTAAATTTTATAGTTCAATAAAACTCTTACAGTTAAGTGAAAATTAATTTTTTAATTTCTTCTCCCATTTTTTTGATGGGTTAGAGCTGATCTAAAGTAAATTACTAGAAAAACAGCATATAATTTTGATATTGCTAGTGAAAGATTAAAATTATTATTACAGTGGAACCTCGGTATACGACCTTAATCCATTCCTGATGTTTGGACTTACACCAAATAAGGATGTTTACACCAAATAAGGACTTACACCAAATAAGTATACCAAACCTACCTTTCCCATAAGAAGTAATGTAAAAATGATTAATCTGTTCTCATGTAAAAAAAATGGCTGGCTTTAAACACCTCGCTTTCCTGGCTAATTCCTGCTTGATTTTTCATGAGATCAGCATGTATATTTTTAGCTTTCTCGCAAATAATTGCTTCTGATACGCTGTCGCCAGCACACTGTTTTTCGGTATTCCAAAGCAAAAACAATTTCTCAACATGATCTAATGTCTTCGATCTATGTTTAAAAATTGATTTAATTAACCCCTTTCACAATGTTAGCAGGTTTAATAATGTCTTTATTTTTTACGATTGTTGATGATATCGTTCTCGGAATACGGTATGCAACAGTTAAAATCTCGAACACGCATCCACCTTCATATTTCTCAACAATCTCTTTTTTTCAGTTCCATTGTGATTCTAGTCACGTTTTTAGTTTTCTGTTGCTTTTCATTTGCCTTTTTGCAATTCATGATTAATAAAAATAATAAAATTTTACTTACAAATTAAAATCAAAAGAAATTTAACAAAGTTATAAACCATGGCACTGCAAACAGCTAGTCTGGTCTAGTACACTGATAGTGCTACTTGTTCATAGATGGTGCATATAATTGAATTAAGTTGTATACTGAGCAAAATTTGTTTAGTCCAAACAGGACGTATTCCGAATTTGACGTATTCTAAAGCAGACATATACTGAGGTACCACTGTATTATGTTATGCAAAATTTTAACTTCAAAGATATAAGAAGTTCCAGAGTATTTGAAAGTGACTATTATACTTTTTAAGAAAATGATATTATTTGTTTGGACTTACACCAAATAAGGATGTATACCAAACCTACCTTTCCCATAAGAAGTAATGTAAAAATGATTAATCTGTTCTCATGTAAAAAAATGGCTGGCTTTAAACACCTCGCTTTCCTGGCTAGTTCCTGCTATGAAAGATTATTAATCTATATCATGATAATGTATAGATTTGAAGAAGTGCTGATTTTAAAATATGCTATAGTATATATAGAATAGCATTATTTCTTTTGAAGTACAGTGGAATTTTCTTTTTGTAATCACTTTGGGACTTGCCTATACTAATGATTACCAACTGATAACATTAAGCAGCAAATTTAAATAAGACTACAACTAATACAATTAATTTCTCATATTAATTCAAAACATTTCACTCTATTTTATTATTGTTGTTCCAAATATTAATCTGAAAAACATAAATAATGCATATTAAACTGAAAATGAAATATTTACCCTATAAGAATCAATTTTCCCTTTTACTTGTTCGTTTTTTGCTAATGCCTTTTCCATGCAATCTTTTGTATAAAGCTGTGGATTTCTTCCTTGATCAATGTAACTAAAATATTAATAAATCATTTCAAAATTAACTAAAAATTACAAAAATTTTACATTACAAAATAAATAAAACTGTCAGCAAAAACATGACTTAGAATGTAAAAATACATATTACATTACTTACTCAAATACTTCTAATGGTACTTGTATATCTTGTACTTGTGATTTGCATTTATCTATTTCTTGCATAATATTAACTATTTCATTTCTAGCAAAATAACAATTTTATTTCAAAAAAATATTTAATACCACATTTTAAAATACATTATATAACTTACATAGTATATCAAATTTTAGAAAATTAACTGATTGTTTAAAATTATCTATTGTTATTATTTGATGAATTTATAAAAATATCAATACTTTTTAATCTTGCCAATGCATTCTTACATATACAGTGGAACCCCATTTATCTCACTCAAACAGGATCCAGATGACTGAAAATCCAGAAAATTCATTAATGACAGAAATAACACATCTTATATACATTTTACTTCATATTCAAATTTTTTCTCCATTATAACAACCACTTTCTTTTAGAAGTTATTTTCACAGTGTTTACTTTGCAAAAGATTGGAGGTGACTGAAACTCAGCAAAATAATAGTTGCTGTGGGTGTTGAGTGAATAATAACTTGCAAGATTACAAACATTAAACTTATTAACACGTTGACTGCAGTGAGAAGCACTTTTTTTCAACAGGAAAGTAGCAATTTTTAAGAGGTTAGATTAGAAAAGATTCAACAAGATATTAATTAATTAAATAAACTCAAAGAACACTCCCACGAATGCATAACAATGAACATCATATGCTGATTCATTGAAAATAAGTCTGTTCTTGCATGCTGCAATGTCACATTCAGGGAAGAGTACAGTAGTGCCTCGATTATCCGACCGTCCTAGTCGACAAATTTCAAATGTCCGCTAGTGATGTGGTGCTACAATATTTGGCTATGTCTTGGCTACTTTAATATTATTTTTACGTGTTTTAGCTGGCAACACTCATTCGACCATGAAAGGGAGTCAGTATTTAAACGAGGCTTAATTTTCTAATTTTTAACGAAACAATAGCGACGATTATTATTTTTAAAAATTTTTGTTAGGCTTAACATCGATGAAAATTCAACGCGAAGTAGGTTAATAGTGATATACTAATTACATGGGATATAATAATATACTACACTAATAATGGATTTTTTCATACTTTTCAATTATCCGACCAACCGCAGTCCCCAATTGAGTCGGATAATCGAGGCTCTACTGTACTTAGTTCTTTGATTTTTTCACATTTTTAAGCTTTCCTTATGTTGATCTTTTATACTTCTGAGATAGAGATTGTGTTTTTAATCTGGATAAAGCAGAAATCTGAATAAACGGGATTCCACTATAGTATAACAATTGAAATAATATTTTTGCTAAATTTTTTTTTATAATTTACTTAAATATAATTATATCAAATAATTTCTTAGAATATTAAACAATTTTTGGCATTCTTCTGTTTTGTTATCCATGTGCAATGTGACACTGCATGCAGTGTGAGGGTTAATGCCATGCATGCAATGCTGTTTTAAAAATCTTTGCTCCCATCTCATAATTATTGAAAAGAGAAAGCCTTCTCTCCTGGAAAAAGTGTTTTGTTTTGAAGATTTAATGAAAAAAAAAAAGGCTTGGAACTTTTGGGAGCATATTTTGAAGAAAAAAAAAAAAATTTGAATAAAACAAAGTTGGATAAATAACCAGAAACAGATAACAAAACAGACATTAATAATTCTGTTTTATTATATCATCTGTTTATGTACTGTACTACATGGTAAAATACCAGAGAACAATTGCACATAGTAACCTGACAAATCAAATTTTGTGAAAAACAAAGTTGACCTTATGGTCTGCTTTGTTAGTCTATATTCAGATGCACTCTTTGACCAAACCATAAAAAAGCCTCCATGCAGTTACATAAAAATCATCCTCTAAAAATATGTTAACCAACAATTAGCATGTTAATGCAGTATTTTTCAACTGGGGAACAACAATGATATTTCAGGGGTACCATGAAACAGCACTGAACAGTGCTGTAACACTTCTTATATGTATGACTAAAATGGAAAAAGTATAATAAAGTTGATAAAGAAGTAGGGATGTTGCAAGGAAAATAAAATTTTCCTTGCAACATCTCTACTTTGTTATGGCTTTGTAAAACCTTTTTTTGAGGTTTATGCCTTTGAAATAAATAAATAAATAAATTTGTTGGTTTTGTTTACACATTTATTGGGCTGCATGCGGCCTATGGGCTGGACACCCCTGATTTACAGCATTACTTGATTAATCATAAAAATATTATTTACATACATATACTTCTCAGTTATGATTTTAACAGACGCATTTAAAATACAAGTATATCTGAGGACACTTTTCTAAAATCATCTGTAGTTGTTTTTATTTTTACAAATTTTAAGTGTTAATTAATGAAATTTGAAATAGTAATTTTCCAATACAGGTATACCTCGCCTTACGTCAGTAATTGGTTTCAGGAGAACGACTTAAGTCGAAACACAACGGAAGTCGAATTTACTTGTCTCCGAATCTACTTGCCACTAGGCTAAACCATAAATTACCAATTCCCGTTCTGTATTTTATTTATTAATGCATTTTTAATAATATATGGTTAATAAGGATCTATTTTAAGCTTACAAACAAATAAATTTTAGTTTTTAATATAGTACAGAAAAAAGTAATTTAAATTTACGAATGCATGTACAGTACTGTAAATACAGTATATACTTGTAAATGTATATATTATAATATGATTTTATGTGCTTTAAACATATTTCTAGTGATATTACGACTTCAATATTTGTGGCAGACAGACGTAAAGTCGAATAAAATGACTTAAACTTAATTTTTATTTTTCCATATATTTTTTNGTAATTTTCCAATACTTTATCCATATCATCATTCTCAATAACTTATACTTAGTAATCACCATTTATATTCCTAGCATTTCTTACGTTTGTATTTACACATCTATGATACTTATCATCGATTTTCAATCTATCTATTAATCTATCATCAATCTATATTAATTACTATAATGTTAACAAATTTTTTCTATTTTGGTTACTTCCCTCTTTTAACAATGAATTAATTGTCAAAGAACAAAGGAATAATTTCAGTAATATTCTGAATGAATGTAATGTAACATGGTGTTTATTAGCCAAACTACTTGGATTTTGAAAAATCTCAAACTTAAAAAAATGTCAGAAAAATTGCAGAAAAAAAACTAAAATATTAATTGAAAACTCAAAAAATAAAATAAAAACAAAACAAATTATTTATTAAATTACAGTTATAGGAAAGTAAGTAAAAATTTAAAGAAACCAAGTTTATAAACAGAAAGACATTCCCTCTGTGATGATAATGGAAATGTGATTTTTAAAAATAATAAAAAGATTGAAAATTAATATGAAGCAGTTTATTTGATTCTCACTTGGTATAATTTACCAAGTGAGAATCAAATAAACTTTACGTCAGACTGTTTGTTTCCTTTACATCACTTAGTGCACACAAGTTGCATCAATCATGGATAACAAAGTAGAAGAGCACCCAAGTTTTGTTGCATTCTAGAGAATTTTAGTATAATGGTCTTTGTATATTAAAAAGTATAGAGATGGATACAATTACACTCATAGGAACAAAAAAGTCAAAGAAACCATGCCTGTAAATGTGATTTTTTGTGAGATACAGACCTTCAAAATTGGGCCATGCACAATTGCGAGTGATTTCATTCCACCAAGACTATTGCATTTAACTATTTAGCCCAAATGACTATGCCAGCTTTGAGTAGCCCACTTGACTGTTTGTGGAGTACTTGATGTTTTATAGTTTTAGAGGATGTGGGAGCTAGCACCTCAGAGCACAACTATGTTGGTCAAATCGCTCACGTTGACCAGCACAAAGCATGGAAAATAGGCAGTATACTGATACACGGTAAAAACTAACCTTTGGAGACGAATATCTCACGAAGGATCGCATATACAGGTATGGTTCCATTGACTTTCGTTCCTACAGGAGTTTACAACTCTGAGGAGTAGGAAACCCCTCATTCAGAGATGAGTTGATTATGTGAAAAATAAGTTGTACTAATGGATGGAATTCTAACTTAAGGACTATGTTTATTGGATATCATTATAGCATAAGTTGACAATAATTTTAATTGACGTAAACAATTCAGCAAACTTCATATGATTTACTCACATTTTCTGATTCAAGAGTGTCTGTCCTTGAGGTTGAAAATCACTAACCGTGATTCCTAAACGTCTAACAGTCTCGATAAAAGTTTCTAAATTCTCTTCTAATGTTTGCAGAGGAGAAGACATTTCGAAAGACGATCAGAAAATAGCAAAAACAATCAAACAATTATTAAAGCTGTAGCCATTCGACTATAACAACGTGCTGCCAAATTCGTCAGAGTCAATCTCTTTTTTTATAGCCAAAATTATATATATTTTTAAAAGATATTATAAGCATATACTTTTCAATATATAATACTTATAATACTTTTTCTTATAAATTAATATATGATATAATAAGAATAAAAAATATATAAAGATTCATAAAAGAACAAAGACAAAAATGTATGGCATATTCCGGCAGTCCCCATTGCGGGTCTGACCGAACTCTGATATAAAAATGATTAACAAGCCTTCTTAGATTACAAATCATAAAAGAAATTCATCTAGATTTCAGCCATCTCAATAATTTACACCTGTAAATTAATAATCAGAAAAGTATTGCAATAATGGAAATGAAATAATTTACCGTTTTTCTTTTTCCACTCACTTCTTTTTACTTGTATCATTCAATGAAACTTATAGTTTTAAAAAAGACAAGAATAATACTACTGTAAACCATAATGTTCGAAAAGAATTTGAATTTATCTATTGAATGTGATGTTAAATATGAAGTTTTTAAGAAAACGGACTGAAGTGGAAAAACGTTGGAAATGCATACCCCTGTATAAAAGAATACTTTTTGTTGAGTGCGGATTCCAAAAAAACTATTTCTTATATTTCAGTGAATAATATAAATAATTTTCTTTAACTTTAGTCATAACTGATACGGAACAGAAATGAATATTTTCCAAAAGATGAATCCTTATCAAAAGTTACTTTACCGGTACTAAATTTCAATATAAGCAGGGGCTATGGTAGGGGCTCTTCAGTTCTTTCCTGACATTATTATACAGCATATTAACAACAATTGGATTAAAATCGATCATCATAATTCGCAATTTTTTACCAATCATGGAAGATTTAACATATACCTCCATAGATTTTCTCTCAGCAACATCAGTACTTGCCCTCACTGCGGGATGGAAGATGGGAGTACACATTATATTTTTAAGTGTCCTATCACCGAAAGAGAAAGACTGGATTTAGAACTAATTACTCGCAGGAATGGAAGAGGTTAGCCACGCAACTGCTGTGAACTTATTAAAAATGAAGATAGCCGTTAGTGCTTTTCAAGAGCTTGTAAGGAAATACCACACTGCCACATCAGTCATCTAACTTTTCCGACTTATTATCTTCTTGTACACTGTTGTAATCTACCTGCTGGATCCTGAGCGAGGCGAATTAACATGTTTTGCCTAGGGCCCGCGAAGGTCTAAATTAAGCCCTGATTATAGTTACTGTAATTGAATAATTTTAATGTCGATCGTTCTGCCACAATTAAGACTAAAATATTCCCATTTTTCTTATTTTTTTACTTCATATATTACGAAAATAAAATATTCTTATAACAGGTGTATATATCATTGTAATTAGGAATTTATTTATTTCAAAATTTATCATTAACAGCAGTGAGCTATTCTCCGTGTTTGGATTTGATATGTCAGGTGCCAGAAGACAACTTGGATTAGAAATCGTATTAGCTCTTTTCTTTTGTCTAACGCATAGCTTAGCACATGTAAAATGAAATTTCTAATTCATCATATATGCAAAAATAAATAATTTTCAAGAGGGATGTTTAATCACTCAATAAATCTCATTATCTTTTGTATATTTTAGCGCTTCCTAGTCTTTATCATGTACTAGCAGACCCCGTTACGCGTTGTTGTGGCTCAAAATGTATCTATTATAAATGTATAACACTTCCCCCGTGGGGGAGAGAGAATTTTTCGAAAAATCCCTTCTTAGTATACATTCTCTTGACGTACCCTATTAAAATACAATCAAAAACGCAAAAAACCGCATCTAAAATAGTATAAATAGAAGAAGAGTGCTTTACGGTAAGCCTTAATCCTGTCCATCTCCCCCCAGTGGGGGGAATTTCGACATGTATATTATATAAAAACATATGCGTATTCAAATGCAACGTTGTGTCAAAATTTCAAAGGAATCGGTAGGAAGAAACGAACATTACATTTTTATTTATATAGATAGATAGAAGATGATCTGCTTTAGTTCAACCTCACAGAAAAGCAAACTTAGGCCGTCGCACTCGTAGCGCCATCCGTTGGACATAAAAGCCTTAACCCTAGATGATATATTTTAATTTATATGAATGTTTAACGGAGTAATATACAGCCTATGTCCACCCTGAAGTTCCATTCTAAATATTGGTGAAAGAATTTTTGAAATCGGATGAGTAGTTTCGGAGATTACCTCCTACATCTAAACTTACAAACTCTAACTCTTTATAATATTAGTATAGATAAGCTTTTATCCGTAAAATTGGGCATCTTAATTTAACAAAATTTCAATTTTATTCATAGATTATAAAGTTTCACTCAAGTAAATTTAACAAGGTAGATTAAAAGGGGGTTACTAGACTTGAAGTCTATTCATTTTTCGCTTCGAACGATCATCATAAAATGAAAATTTTTATTCATCTTTATACGGACACGAAACACGAGAATATTATATTTCTGAATACATATTACTGTTAACAAGAATGTATATGTAAGGAATGATCCGCAAAAATCCGTCTGTTCAGCGACAGAGGCGTAAAAATCACGAAATTCGGTGAAAAATCCGAACGTCTTACATTACATTTCATGGCGACGCAATAATAAAAGTGACAATTTGTTGCGATTATTGTTATTGCGAATGATTGGATCTTTGGTTCGTGCGATTTAAAGTCATTGATTTCAAGCGTTTTTTTTTTTTTTTTTGAATTTTCATTATTTGCAGTGATTTTATCGGTAAGTTGAGACTACGAACTTTATAAATTTGGGTATTTTTGAACACTGTTAAGCCGAATATTACAATTAATGGCAATGATTTTCCGACAATGCGCCATTTAGATAACAATTGATCGGTTTGGTCACAGACTTCACTTATTTTAGAAGACACTTTTCATTCTTTTTATTGTTAATTTTCGTTCAGTCCAAATTCAATGGAATTGTAAAAGCAAAATAAGAATTAATAAATATATGAAATTGTTATTCCCCGCTATGGTTTATATAGATATTATATCCCATATAAAATTCACTCCGCAATACTCTATACAGTAATACCTCGACTTACGCGAATCCGGAGTTACGCGATTTTCAAATCTCGTCGATTCGTCTTTTGTTTGAGCGCCACACAACTCTCGATTACTCACCCCCCACACTATTGTTCAGCTTACACGTTCGGACGTGTCGCGCGGAATCGAAGAATAGCTACAATTTATTCTGTGTTTGTTATATCTACGGAGACTCGAGAGACTTTACTATGTCATCCAAACGAAGTAGAACTAATTCTTCTGCATGAAACAAGAAAAGGAAAACTATCTTTGGAATGTAAAGTTAGCATTATTAAAGACTTCGATACAAAAATGAAAATTTGTGAATTGGCAAAGAAGTTTGATCTACCGGAATCGACGGTCAGAACAGTTACAAAAGGAAAAGAAAAAATTCTCGAAGTTGCGAAAAATGCTCAATCTCTAAATTCAAGCATCATTCGTAAACGTCACGGTATTATCGCTGAGATAGAAACAATGTTAAAATTATGGTGTGATAATTAAGTAAATCTGAAAAATTGTCCTGTTGATCAGAACACGGTGTGCTCTCAATCTAAGCTGATTTTTGAGAGATTGAAAGAGGATGCTGGAAAGGTGGTTAAAGATGAAGAGTTTAAAGCTAGTAACAGTTGGTTCAGCCGATTCAATATAGCATAGAATTGCAGAAAGTGGAGAGGCGGCAAGTGCTGATAAAGAGGTTGCGTCTTACTATTTAGAGAAATTCAAAGTTATGAGAGATGAAGGTGGCTATAACAGCCAAACACAGTGGCGGCCTTAGGGGGTGGCGAGCAGGGCAATCGCCCGGGGCCTCGCTTTTGGAGGGGCCTCGCGCAACAACCAAGTAGAAAAAAGTTTATATTTAAAACTTTTTATTTTATCCTTGGCTATTAGTTATAACAATAAAATAAATTTAATTTATAGTACAGTATATATTAATATTAATAAGTGCCTACTATTTCAATTCACATACTTTGCACAAAGGACAAGGGCCTCGCAAAGATCTGCCGCCCAGAGCCTCGCAATGGATAAGGCCGCCACTGGCCAAACATATTCAACGTAGATGAGACTGACCAGTTCTGAAAGAAGATGCCTAAAAGAACTTTTATCACCCATGAGAAGAAAAACCTTTCCAGGTTTTAAGGCCGCCAAAAATCGATTGACAGTGACGGTTGGCACGAATGCAGCTGGTGATTGTACTTTAAAATCTCTAGTTATCGCTCGAAAAATCTAAGTGCATTGAAAAATAAATCTAAAGCTGGTTTGCCTGTGATTTGGAAGTCGAATCGTAAAGCTTGGGTGACAGCTTCCCTTTTTTGAGGACTGATTTGGTCATCACTTCATACCTGAAATCGAACGTTATTGCCTATCTAAACAAATTCCATTTAAAGTGATGCTAATAATCGACAACGCACCAGGTCACCCCCCCTGCAACTTTAACTAATTTTGACCCATGTGTGAAAGTTGTATTTTTGTCACCAAATACAACCAGCTTGCTTCAACCGATGGATCAGGGAGTCATTAAAACATTCAACGCTTATTACACGAGACGATCGTTTGCACATCTGCATGAAACTGAGACAAAACAACGAACTCTCTGTTAAAGACTTTTGGAAACAATTCAATGTTTTAGATGCAGTGAGAAAATCATTGGACAATCTTGGAATGAAGTTTCACAAAAAACTTTAAATGACATCTGGAAAAAACTGTCCTTTTTTCAACTTTTTTCCATCACCGAAACTCAGGCGGAATCAGTGTCAGAGCTTGATGAAATTGGTAATGTGATTGAAGAAGTTGTCGATCTTGCCAGGCAAATAAATTTAGAAGTGGATGGTGATGACGTTCAAGAACTGCTGGATTCCCACAATCAGGAGCTGACAATTGATGAGCTCATAGAAATACGTCAGCAAGAGCAAGATATTGAGCTGAGTCTAAAAAATCAAGTTCTTCAATAAGAAGATCGAATGACGGTTGGAAATT